GGGGGGGGGGGGTGTCATTTAATGAAAAAAAAAATGAAAAAAAAAATCAAGAAAAAGAGTTTACCTTGAAAACCTGAGATCCTGGTTCATTGTACGTTTTGGCATTTTTGGCCATCAGGTCAATGTCCTTGGCCATAGCATTGACACTTTTATAGTATCCAATCTATGAAAATAAATTAATTAAATTAAATTAAATTAGTGCTGATTAAAATAAACCACAAAGTTCTGAAATCTGTGAATTTTAAAACGACTGCTTTGCACAACAAAGCACTCAAACAGCAAGGGAAGTGTCTACCTGTATTCTTTGAGCGATCGTTCTCAGATCTATTGGCTCCTTTATAATGGCATAGTAGTCTGGATAATGCTAGGAAAGATAAACGGGTCTGTAAATGTCAGGAACGTGAAACAATTTCGAGGGCACCGTTTGAAGCCCAAAGACTCTTCAAGAACTCACTCACCACTTTGGAAGGCAATTTCTGGAACAGTTCACTGACCAGACGCCCTGAGGGATCAGCGTGCGACACCACAGCCTCCAAGAGTTGCTCCAACACCTCCTTCAAACTGCCAGTTGAGGTCTAAACGAGTAAATATGAATAAATGATTTCTTCTGTAGCTTAATTCAAAAACACATCCAACATTTAAAGAGATTGATAATACATGTTTAATTCTGTAAAAATACAAGAATCTTTTTTTTTTTTATGTTGTACAAATAAGTGAATCTCGTAAGTGACAGTCGAACAAGCAGACAAGGCGATTTACTTAAAAGAATTTACCTCATCTTCAGTTGACATTCCTGGATTATCCATCATATCATCACCGTCTTCATCATCCTCATCTCCATCCCCAGGTTGCACAAACTCAGTCCTTGTTTGCAAGTATACCTCCCACAGCCTGCACGCAGCTTGATATTCCTCACTGTCACTCTGAATGGTCGGCCATGAAAAAGGAAAATAGAATTGTTAGAATATAGAGACCACAAATAAAACTACAGATATTGAAAATATGGCACCACAAAAATAATTCTGCTATTACACCAAACTACAGTTGGAGAAATACCGCAGCAGTACGTTTCTCCCTACCTTGTAGAATGATTTGGCGTTGTTGAACATGAGCTGAAAATCTGCAGTAAGCTGCTCCACATCAGTATAATCTTCTGACTTCAGTTTATACTGAATTTTTGTCATATCGATCGGCTGAGACACGACTTCGTAATAATCAGGCTGGTTCCTGAAAGAGAACAAGAGACCAGACATCACTGTAATCTCCTTATGTCTGAATGAGCTGCCCAGCAAAACCCACCCACCAGTCACACTAATAAACCTCAGTGTGACATGTGAAGCATGATTCTGGAGGCATAAAGTTCCCAGCACTGCCAGCTTTGAGCTTTACTCCGTGTTTCCCGTTACAATACCTTCTCTTTGGTACCCTTAGGAAGACTTCACACAGCTGCCTCCCTTGTTCATCCTTGTGGTCCCTGACAGCGTTGAACAACTCATGGCATACAGCGATCTGGAGGGAACAAGCACTCAAAACATTGAGTAGGAGCACACAGCGCGTTGTTATCAGCTCGACTGGGACACAACGTGACAAACTCTAATGCAAATGAGCCACACAACGCGTGAAGTGCATTTACCGTATCTACATGAGGGACATTGGAGATTCGTCTTCTTTTTCTGCCACTTCCAGGAGTCAAGGAGGAGGTGTCGTCGAGGTCACCCCCTCCACTCACACTGCTGGAGGGTGAAGTGGCTCTCCTCCTCTTGGAGCTCGCTGACATCGCTGCTCGGTTTAACAACAGGCTAGCCCGCTAGCTGGAAAAAAAACAGCAAAAAGACACAACGTTGACTGTGGTTTGGGTGCGATTCACACGCGATTCCCCAAAGTTGCAGTAAACATCGATCGTCCATCCCGCAATTCACTCTGAAGCGAACAACTCGACCGGTTAGCATTAGCTTAGCTTGAATGTATGAAACAAAGCAATCTGACGAGCGGCTGTTAGCATGTTGTCCTAGCTCAATTTCCGCTTTTCCTAACAATGCAGCCAAACTAAATGCTTATATTTCATTTACCAATAAACACACGCGAGCTGGGAACAATAAGTAAAGCAATGCACTGGCTTTCAAAAACAAATCTCACCCAAAACGCAGCAAAGTTTGCCGTAATAGTTCCCTGAGCACAAATGTGTAACGGCTAGCTAGTGTTGTTTGAAAACTCCTGCCCGGAAGTTGATGTTGTGCAGCTGAGAAAAGCGCCGCCTGAGGAAGTGCTGCCCCCTTCAGTCTGGGGACAGTATTGCACCCAATGGTACAACACTAGATACACCACAAACAATATAAATAGTTTATAAACATAAGCATATAAAATAAATGTAAAAACATCGAAATTGCCATTTTCATTACCATAATGTTTTTTTTTAATTTATGAATTTATTTATGCTTATGTCTTTTTTTTTGTCCTTTATATGAGTTTGCTGAGGCAGAACAACAACATTAATAAAAACATTAATTTATGTAGCACTATCAAAAACAAGTTTTAGAGTGTGTGGGTCACTACCTCAAACATTTGAGTGCTTTACAGACATATTATGATACATATATATTATATCATATCTATGTGACTAAATATATAGTTCACAAGAAAAAATATGTACGAAAAGAAATAATTAAAAGAAATACAAAAAAAATTGTATTAAAAAAATAAAAAAAAACATTTCATAGAGTTTTAAAAGGGGACAAGTATTGTACAGTTCTCTCGGGTATTTAAAGAATGTAAAGACGAAAAAGGGAGACATTTTATCAATTATTAGTATGCATGTATATTTAGGCCTATGCACTTCTGCATTAAGTTGGTGTATGGATAAATCTGTAGTTATTGTCTGTTGTTTATCAGTATAATTTTATGTTGAGAGGGAGGATTTTGGAGAGTGGGACAAGGGTTGGATGGTTTGGGGATGGGGCAGGAAAGGATCTGTTTACAGCAGGATATAATACTACAATCCTTCATGTTCAAGTTAACTATCAACCTGAAAATACCCCAGCAAAAACACTACATAAATTAACTAATAAAGGAGAAACATCCTGGCTTTTACAAAACATTAAAATAAGGTTCTCCATCAGGAACACCTTCCAGTGTGTTGCAACACAAATATCCCAGCATTAAAAACTTTGAGCTGATTGCCAGAGAGGTGGTGAATACACTTTTTTGTTGTTTGTTTTTGTTTATACCCTGTAGGCTATAACTTATAATAGATGTAATTAGTCTAGCCGGATGGACCCGGATCTGTGACAGCAGCGTCCAGGTGGACTTTGGGAAGGGTCCCGTGAGTGTGACAGTGTTGATGCTGTGAGAGAGAGAGTGCAGCAGGGCGTTGCCTCAAGATTCATGGAAAATCAGAGCTTTAATTACCTGCATGTGTACATTAGGCCTTTTGGTCTAAAGCGCACCAGTCCTCCCTCTCCTTCTGCAGCCCATTTTCTGTACAACCCTAAACACTTTGATTTTATTCAGGTCGCTTGTGTGTGCCATGTCAGTGCTGTATGATAAATTATTCACAGTGACACGTTATGCCTGTTTTTGAAAGCCTCTAAAACAGTCTTGCATATACCCTGCGCACAACATGCACAAAAAGGGCAACTCCGCCTAGAGAAGCTCGCAGAAAATAACAAGCAGATGCACACAAAATCTGCTCACATGTAACAGACGGTGGCTCGACTATCATAAGGTGAATCGCAGATCACGTTGTTAAGAGAACAGTGAGTGATTTTATGCTGCACTACGTCCACAGACGTCTGGTTTTCTTGACGTCAGGAGAAGTCTGAGCGGACCCAGCGCTGCGCACAAGCAGCACAGCAACCACATCGCTCCCAGAGGGAAGGAGAACACATCACAGCTACATATCGCCATTTAGGTATGTGTTGTTGTTTGTTTGTTTTTTCCAGTTCTGTATTGACCGAAATGCATCATCAATCGTAGCTAGTTTGTCTTTGGGCATGTACAACTTGTAAAAGCTTTTGGTGCGTGCCCGTGTCGCATGTCTGCAGCCTCCTGATTTAACCCAAAGATGCTGCCTTCCTTTGACTGCCGTACCCTTGAGCGCTGCAGTAGCCTCCGGTTCGCACACCCACACCGCCTTTTCTTCCTTTTAGCCGACACATGCATGATCAATCAACACGCAAAATGGGACTCGTGTCAGAGTTGCAGACGTATTGCACCGGCAAAATGTTTTTAATTTCCATTCAGCTGCTTGTCATTCACGCCCTGCAGCCTTAATGCCGGTTATCAAATGTTGCTCAGTGGAATACATGTTTCTGTTTTGACCAGAGCTTCTTGTTTTTGTAGATTTTTTTTTAATTCAGAGCAACCTAATTGTTTAAAGCTTCAGATGTTAAATATAGCACAGGTCCCCCCCAGCTGGTATCTGCCTCTACTGACCATGCGTTGGTCTTTTGAGACGGTCGGCTACATGGTCCCTTTTTGGCGACTGCCTCGGCTGCACTGTTTGCCCTACTTTCATGCTGTTATTTGTTGCTATTTATTGTGGTCTGTACGGTTCTCAGAGAAGAAGTCTGTTGTGGCTTCTTAGGGCAATAGTTATATCTTCTTGTCAGTGCGCACATTTATTTTGGTTTGGATCTATTTTCGTGTTAGTGCGTTTGTTCTCATTTGTTATTTTATAAGAGCTTTCTCTCTAATTTATCCTGTCTGATGAAATAAAGAATAACGCAAGAAAAAAAGATTGTAAAACTAAGAGACTGCAGTGTAGGTCAGGCCCACAGCAGAAGTGTTCTTTTACTTTGACTGGACTTTTCAGCTTATTATCAGTTATCATGCCCACTAACTTGACCTCCTGTCATCCATAACAATCAAACCTAAAGGTCTTAAAAAATGCAAGCAAGGGCTGCAAAAACCAGAACGCTTAATCAGGAAAATCAATTGTTTATTTAATGGCTGAGGGCTTTATGTAACAATCACATCAGTCAGCCAAACTGTAATGGACATATTGAACTGATGCAGAGGCAGAATATCTTTCACAGTCTTACTCCTAATTGACTCCATTAAATAGTGCAAGAGTGCCCATTGATTGTTGTGTAATATTTCAAGTCTATTATCTGTCTATTATTTCCCCACTGTGTGCTGGAATGATGTTTGTAATAGAGACAGCATCAGAACGTGGCTAAAAACCCACAATACATGATACAAAACCGTGTTGCCTTTGAGGGAATTTTAATATTTAACACTTATTTTAATTAAAAGTCACTGCATGGTCCAATCACTATGGTTTAGCACAATCATCCTGATCAAAGATGATCTAGGTTTGATTACACATGGGGTGGGTCAACACCGAATTGTGAAGTCTTTTCATTTCATTCTGTTCATTCTCCCCGTAGCTGTAGTGTGGCGAATCCGATCAGCGTTGTAGGATGCCTCTTGGAGAGGATGGAAATGGATGGAAAAAGAAGACATCAGACATCAAAGAACATTATGACTTCAAAGAAGTGCTGGGAACGTAAGTTGCACTGATAGTTTAATGCTGTTGTCAAGGCAAGGCTGAATTACCAAACGGGGCAAAGACGTTACCTGCACCAGTGGCCCCAGACTCTCAAGGGTCCTGAACACCTCTCCTTGTGTCAGTTGGTACATTAAATAACTTTTTCAGGAAGCTCTTCAATTGTTCAAATATAATTTTAGCTCCATAACCCTTCAATGAAGGTAAATTAATCTAAAACAATATGCATATGTTTTAGTGGGATTTGGATGAGCTGATCCTTAAATGTGCATTAGTCTAGGTGTCCTATCTTAAGACGGTGCCCTTTATCAAATCTATTCTTTATTATCAGAGATTGTTTAAATCAAATTACCACAAAAACAACTGACAGACAGCAAGCATGAAGACAGGTTGAGCTCCAGCAAACTATCTCTGGTTGGCTTCCAAAGTTTGAGGCAAAATATAATGAAGCTTGTGTAGCAGCAAAATAATGTAATAACTACATTTTATGTAATTCTGTGTTGTAATTGAAGGGTACTTGCAGGTATAATACACAATTTACAGAGAGTTAGACAAATCGAGGGGTCAAAAGGCACCCACCACTCATTTTACCCCCATCTGTCCATGCTGTCAGGGCTGCAATATTTGAGTCTTGATGCTGAAGTCTCTCAAGACTGACATTTTGGACTGCCTATTTTGACTCGGACTTGTCTTGTTCTTGGCCGCCGTTTGATGCTGACTCAACTATTTCCAGTCTCCTGAAAGTATTCAAAAAGCATACAGAGCAGCAGCAAAGTATTCTGTGCAGCACAAAAACATTTTAAATAGACTGCAGCTAACTACAGCCACGCTGCAATTTTTTGTTATTGAGCATCATTGTCAGTTATTCTTCCTGTCTTGGACATTACATCAGTGTTTGTGCAAATGAGTAACTTCATATTTATTTGCATTTCACATTCAACACTAATTAATGTAAGGAAAACAATATGACTTGGACAGCTGAGGACTTTATATTAGGCATTCAACAAAATGATCTATACTGTGTAGCACCAATCACTGATCTAAGCCAATCCTGACAGTCCAGTGTAGATACTGTAATGTGCATAATGTGCAGTGCACATGGATGATTTCACAGAGGTGATGATATGTAGGCAGTCTGGCCTTCATGTTAGCTCTTAATTGGTTTTCTGTTTGTGAGGAGAGTGGGTCCAGAATGGATGCAAGGTCATGTTTCATCCAGCCACTTTCACTGAAACTAAATTCTAACTAAATTGAGTGGTTCTTTCTTACTGCCCACGACTTATATTACTTTACTATACAAAACCCAATGAAACCTGTCATGTTTCAATAATCGTCTATCTCTGAATATGTCCTTTTTCTGCTCATATGATTGACTGGAGGGATGTGAGAGACTGTGGAACAGGTTACAAATATGTATGCCTTTTTCATTTCTTAATCAACAGCACACATGTTATGCTTAACGTAAAAGGAAAGATCACATAAACTCATACCTGCAGCTGCTTCCTACGATTTGTCAGAAAAACTTTTTAAGCTCAAGTTCAACTTACCTACGTGTGTGATGTGGTCTGGTGTCCACCTGTATTTCCCATTGCCCTTACATTGACCCTGATTACATTTAGTTACCGCTACACAGTCTGGAATCCAAAATAGATTATATTTACGTTGTGACTTAATACACCTTCATTTTGCAACAAACTGCAAAATTAATCTTCAACCAGCGGGGTAAAGGTTGCCATGCAGTCAGTAATGGTGAGGGCTGGACTTACACAGACCTGTGACTGCACTCTCCAAGGGGACAGGACTGAGCCCAGATGGTCTGGCGGCTTCTCTCCACCCCCCCAAACTAAGTACAAGTGACCTAGCACACGTCCACCTGTGATGACACGAATGTGCCATATGGAGTGTGGTTGTTTTCTTTCTTCTTGGAATCGCACCTGCTTCCCCAGAGAGGCTGCACAGAATCAGATTTTAATGACTGCGCAACTCTGGTTCACATCCAAAAAAGTGAAATATCAGTGGGAAGATGATGAGGCTGTCTGGTTATGTCGAGAGCTGTAGGAGGACATCAAATACGACTCAATCAGTCTGTGTCTCTGGGTTGTGCATGCTGTATGAAATGCACTTTGACTAGCAGATTGTATATTTGAGAAATTATGACTGCTGCTTAACGCTGATAACTTCTGTTATGATTCCAGTAAGACTTGCAGGAACTTAAAACAGTGATTGTAATTTGAAATATGATATTAAGGGTTATGCAACACGGATTGAAAAAGTGAATTGCCAGGATACCATGTTCTCATTTTTTCAGAAAAAAATGTGAAAAAAGCTGTAGTAATATTCTTTCCCTCCTGTCACTATAGCTGGACCTGGCAGAGGGCAGAATTAATGTGTTGACGGAAAGCTCCTTATGCTGGGAGAGAAGATTACAGAGGAGCTTTATCCAGGAATTCAGTGTGTGAAGTTAATTGATTTATGTTGAAATATTATATTCAGATCCAGCTAATCCTCACAGTTCTACCTCTGTTTGGAGTCCACTTCAGGACAAGCTGTTCTCGAGGTAGCAGGTTAGCAGATGAAATCCCCCATCCCCCAAACCAGGTCTGTCACAGTTTGGCTGCACATGTTTTGACTTTTCTGTAGTTATTCACATAAACACATTTCTCCTTTAAATGTAAAAATGTAGAGCATTATTGTTGTAATCAATGTAATCCCTAGACGTGTAAGACTCTAACCTCTATAAACTCTGTCTTTCATCAATGTTGACATCATGAATGTCTTTTTCTTTTGTAGTTTGATTAAATGTCCCATGAATTACTTATTGATCTAGCTGATAGATATTTATCTGTTGAGGATGTTAGGCGAGACTAAGGACTAATTTTGATGCATGAACATAAGATCAGTTTATGAGCCCTGTGGACAGATATATCCCTGCAAGCTGGCAGCTTATCTGGCAGAAGAGCATGGGGCCAGTTAACAAAATCATTTCAGACCACAACACAGCAATAAAACTGTTCTAAACATCCACAGTAGAGTACTTCCTAAATGTATCGTTGACGCTCACTTCTCCTTTCAGATCTCTCCATCATAGCACCAAACAGCATAGTTAAATTATATATATACATGATACAAACCTGCAAAGAGCCACAGAATTTGGTGTTGATTCTCAGTGGGAGCAGCAGTATGAGCACCCTTTTCATAATACATTATTTGATTCACTATTAAAATGCATGTTGCCTAATTGAGCATTAACATCAGGAGGGACATATCAAATAATTTCAACTTTGCATTAAAGATAACATAATTGATCGAATTACATTTAATGACTCGTTCATGTTCATGACGGG